GCATATTCGCTGGTTTACTTGATGTGTCCGCTCAGTTATATTTCATCAGTGTGAGCGGCATGCAAGGTAGGAGCGGCAAAGGGGCGCCGCCTGTTGCCGCTGAGTGGCGCCGCCTGTTGCCGCTGAGTGGCGCCGCCTGTTGCCGCTGAGTGGCGCCGCCTGTTGCCGCTGAGTGGCGCCGCCTGTTGCCGCTGAGTGGCGCCGCCTGTTGCCGCTGAGTGGCGCCGCCTGTTGCCGCCGGCGGCCCACTCAATATCGATTGAAAGCCATATATGACATATTGTTCACAGGCTGAAGTGGATTCTGATGCGTGAATCTGGTAAATTATATCACAAGTACCCATATGCTGAGCCATATTTGGAATACTGTGTTGCGTACACTCTCGTTATATACTTAAGTTATAACTCTCGGGTGGTAACCGTCCCCATATATGTTATATGTCATCACATATAACATGGAGAGAAAGGTTGCCTACGGGCAGATATATTCCCCTTAACGGCAGCTAATGTCATATTTGATATTCCTTACTGTCTATTGCTGGACTAAACAATCTCAAAATGAGTATTACATATTGCTTTGGCTGTATATTACTTCTTACGGTTTGACATTCACGACCGGGTTCAGGTCAGCATCATATATTGAGTTGTCCGATGTGTTAAAGGACCCCGATAGTCATGCCACGTGTCATTTCTCTTCCCCTTTATAGCCAAGGTGGCGGATGATTGTCAAGGGACTCTGAGACAGAACTGACCTTGCTTGGGGCCTTTGGACCATGCGGTCTCAAGGTGAAATCAGAATACTCCGATGTCAGTTGTTTTGCATATGTAACTTGTATTCTCGAAACCTGAGGAAGGGATGAGTGGACATCTCTCAGGACCCCAGGCCATTGAGTTGAATGCTCAGTCAGAAATAATTAATATTGCTGGAACACAGCTGCTTTCGCAAAATAGATATATATGACACTGCTCAGGATGTAAAGTGTTCAGCTTGCTACCAAATATCATCTATATCTACGGTAGCGGGCTCTGCCGTGCTCGCACGGCCCTACCGCCTTATACATCGTCACAGGCAATATATTCCGCCAAAACCATACAGTATCTCCAAACAGTGTTCGTGGTGAATTCGGCGCTATACGAGACCCGAGCAACCTCCACTAGGCGTCCTCGCGAAGCGCTGGAAGCTGTTTGCGGGATGAGCTTCCCGCGTCAGCAGCAACGCCGTCACGTCGACTCTTTCTAGAGCCCCGAGATCCGGAGTGACCGCCCGAGCGCTTAGATGACGACGGTCCCGACCAAGCGTACTTGAGGAATCCGGTCTGGCACTCTGTCGTTCTCTGGCCAGCGAGGGTCCTCGTACGCCTCTGTGAAGAGCCTGATGACTCCATCCGAGTTTTGCAATATCTCGGGAAATGATTCGTATTCGTCACCCTCCATCGATGAGGTGCAAGAAGGCTCCGCCACTTCCTTCTCATAAATAAATTGTTTGAAAGGATGCCGTAGTTTATAGATTAGATTGTCGAGGGGATTGATGTCAAACTTGAGGTCCTTGATGTAGTCTGCCGTCAGTAGTAGGAGTTTCTTCTGAAGTCCTCCAATGTAATAGCCCGTGTCTCTATCCAGCTCGTAGAAGTCAAAAACGTTCCCCATGACGCTCATCAGTTTCGATGCCGTGAAATTGGATTGCACGTGGTGGAGACACGTCCAGAGAAGGATCCAGTAGGAAGACTCGAGATCATCCTGGCGAGTGTGTAGTTTGAGTGTTAGTTGGAGCAAAGCGTGTGAGATGAATTGCCAAGTGCCCTTCATAGATTGAGATATAAGCATCAATGCCTGTGACTCATCACCAGGCTGCACATACCGTACGATCTCGCACCCGTGCATTCTCTTCCCGCAATGATTTGACGGGCCTCGACAAGTCCCAGTCAATCAATATAGCATGATCATCATCAATCATTATGATATTTCCGAGACTGAGGTCCCGGTGTAGGATATCGGCTTTCTCGTAGGCCTCTTTGTGGGCTATCGAACCGTAAGTTCATCGATCTTCTAGAAGTATCATTCGATACAGTACGTACCAATGAGAGCGTCGAGAATGCCTTTGACGATGGACCTCGACGAGGATGCTTCGGTGAGCTTCTTCCCGACGGTATCTAGCACGATACGATAGTGTTGATGCTGAGCCAGCGTCCGGGTCCTGAGGGCCCAGTTCTCCTCGGCGTACATGGCAGATACCGATCGCTGATCGGCTCGCCCCTCTTGATCCTTCACATCTCCGTGGTAGATGACGCGAGCAATATTCGAGACCCCCTTCGCATACAACAGCTCGTAAATATCTCCTTCTCGTTCCAGCCGGTCGCCATCATAACGCCACGAGTCTTTGAGAAATACTCGCTTTCCAGTCGTCAAGTCGGCTGCCACATAGCAGCACGTTCCTCGACCTATAGCCGTGGGATAGAAAAATCGACGTTTCGACACGATCAATTCCTTGTCGCCAGTGCTGTCGTTTACTCGAATCTTCAGCATAGGCTTGCTCTTCTCGATGGACTCCTTGTCCAATATCGCCTTGGCTCGGTCTGTTTCCTCATCGGTGGCAAAGGTCACTGTGGGATCGACCCCTCGCTCCGTAGGGGACATGGCATTGAACCTGGATAGAAACACGGCGAGGTAGGAATTCTTCTGGTAGAAGAAGCGAGCAGAGACAACAACGCCGGCACGATCGTACCGCAGAAATCGCGCGTAGTCTTTGAAAAGAATCACCTGGAACAAGAACACGCGGGGCTGATTGACCCAGACCATGCTTGCGTAGTCGACCAGCTGACCACGGGCATTTATACCCTCGAGGCTGTTATGCTCGAAAGTATAGGGGTTTGGCTGTTCACTAGTCGGGTTATATAACTGAGAACGACTCAGAGACTCCGCAGAAAAACCTTTAAGGCGAGAAGATTCTGCATGGCCTGGGAAGTTTTGAGTCAGGAGGGAGGGAACAGCAGCATCTCCTTGGCCGCTCTTTTCTGACCCAGTCGGATCAACGAATGGGTCCTGCTCAACCGACGCCTTCATCTCTATGACAAGCTGCACACTATCCCAGTATGTCGTGTCAGAGGATGGTGCCTTGCCGGGGTTTGGAGCATGGATAGGGTCGGGAGCATCGACGGGGTTGGGAACATCAGTAGCGTTAGAAGTATCGACATGGCTGAGAGTATCAGCAGGGTTTGGAGCATCGACAGGGTTTGGGGCATCGACAGAGTTTGAACCACCGTCAGAGCTTGAGACAACATCCCCTACATACACGCTGACATCTGGCCGAAACTGCTTCTGGTCGGTGGGGTCAGGGCGGTGGGACGTGTTGCAGAACTGGAGTCCAAGGCACAAGCTCTTTCCATTCCAGATCTTTTCCTTTATGCATTTGATCTAAGAATGGCTAGTGAGATGCTGTTGTATCACGGAGAGTACGAAAGAGGACACACAAAGCTTGGATACATGGGTTTCTCGTTTCGGCGGCCAGGCCGCTGGAACTGCTGGTTAACATTAGCATTATCGTCCAGCCCAGACACGCTGGACTTGGCATAGTCCTCATTCCCTAAGACAGCTGCGGTCGCCACCGGATTCGCTGCATCAGGAGCCTCGCTGGATACGCGTCCCGAAGGCTGCGACGGTTCGGCCGACGGAGCAACATCACAGGATGCCAACGCCTTCGCCTTCGCTTTGCTATGAGCCTTTTTCCCTTCAACGCTTTCTCCAGTTACCTCTTCCATCTCGGCAAAAAAGTTGGCAAGGACATCATCGGAGGCAGCCTCCGCCACGCCAGAAGGCCGAGGAAGAAACTTATCCAGGAATTCCTGTACCGGCATTGGACCTACAAAGTAGCCAGACATTTCCACAGCCAATTCTTGGCAAGCCTTTTTTAAGTCGTTAATCGTGGCGCTGAAAGGTTTCGTAGAGGCACAGTTGGCCTTCTTGGGGGAGCTTATAGGAGCGGGACAAGAGGCGACCGATTCTCCTTGCGGTAGAGACATAGTGAGCGAGTTGTTGCGGAGAAGAGAAAACAATCTGCACCTTTTATATGTTTCGCACGTGTGGGTGGCAGACAAACGCGTTCCGAAGACGCGAACGAGTTTGATGGACTCAGTCACGTGCGTAGTTGCCGTGCTTCTGCCGAGAGCCACATTCTGTCACATCGCCATTGTCCTTGAGAGGCGATTCGCTGTGGCTGAGTTCATGCGTTATTCCATCATGATATGGCTCACCTTCTTTCATTTCAAGGCAGGGTCCAGGGCCTTGCCATCAAACTTATACGAGCATCTCCACAACGGCCGAGTGCTACGTCTTACACGCAGTGTACCGTATTCTCCTGGTGCTTCCGAAGAAAGTGAGGCACACTCAATACTGGAAGCCGGACGAGATATAGCTTTACTAATTATCTCCGTGTGGGTGCTGTAGGACGCTGACCCCCAGACTATATTTACTGTGAAATGAACAGAACCTAAATGCACCGTCCGCCTTGTGTTGCCAGTAAGGCCGATAAAGCGCAGACCTGAGGAAGCAGCGGGTGCATCCCTTCTCAAATTTTTGCGCTGTACCGAGCTTCCGCCGATGGCCACAAGTTCCACATTCTCCTTTGTCCGCCCGAATCCTCTTCGCCAACCCCTGGGAGCCCAGCTCCTCTACATCCAAGACCATACACCCGGCTTCCCAGTAATCCCAGTTATCCACCGCGCTCCGTATCCCGACATGCTGCAGTGCAGTCGTGGGGTACCTGGAGAAGAGCGGAAGGGAGAGTGCACGATGTTGGCGTTGGTGGGCGCGAGGGGGCCTTCCTTGCGTGTGCAGTGGAAGTTTGTCTCCTTGTCCGGGCACCAGGGACTGAGCGGATTCGCAGGGGGTCAGAAACAGCGGTAAAGTGGGTATACAATGCACCACTCACTGTGTTCTACGGTTGCTTGGTCACGACATGACCAAGTGAGTTCAGCTGAGCTGGTCAGGTATCCTGTGTCCAGACCTGAAGTTGCACCAAAACTTGCCTGTTCGTGCAGAGAAAAGGCTGGATGATGCAGTCATGACCAGGTGGTCCCAGCTCAGCTGGTCTGGTTCTGGCCAGTCAAGCCCAGCTGACACAATCAAGTGGCCAGCCCAGCACAGCCAGCATATTCACATCAGGTCTAAATTCACAATATGCTCTATTCAGTCACTTATTGCAGCATTTCACAAATTATTCAATTATATTCTATGCTAAACAGTTAATATGGAAGTAGTACAAATACAGGAGTCAATAAAAAGAAGAATGTCTTTAAGCAGGCATACATGCGCCAGATGAGTGAATCAGAATCAGAGGTACACACCAACCAAGACAGCATTTCAACGCCATTCATGAGTCACAACAGTATCTGCTACTCACCAGCTGTGCAAGTGGAGATGACAGTAAAACAGTGGCAGCAACTGGTGTCAGAGCTGAACACTGGAAGGACTGGTGAGACAAGCTGACCTGGACCTGTATTATAGAGCACACTACCACCTGGTCATGAATCCCTGTGCTTCACATCCCTGGGCCATGATGGGAGCCTGGACACTGGACAGTGTAGTTTCACTGGCAAATACCTGTACAGCATCTCAGTCCCCCTTGGAGGAGGATTATATATCAGTCCCGTCATTAGATAGGATACTGTAGTATATGCGACAGAGTACTCACCAGCATACATCGACCTCCAAGCTCACCAAGTGCCCTGCCAGTGCAACTGAGATCAAGCACGGCCAATCGGAGAACCTATGAGTGGTCAGTCTTAAAACTAAGTGCATATATGCGCAAGAGTACGTACTACATACAACATGGCCAGCGCGACAACCTGCTTGACACCAACAACAAGGTCCCCTGAGCGGCACGCGCATGGCACTTTAGTGCTTGACCCTCATGAATGCACATGCACCGTTGTTGCATCCCTCGGCTTCCTCGAGGGTTAAAGATTGTCAACCATGTAAAGAAAGAGTACACATCCATCATATCATTGACGACAAACCCCAGGTAGTCAAGGGGATCGGGCGAGGGGTGAGAGCAACTTGAAAGGCAGCGGGGGTCGGGTGCAAAGTGGTAGGGAAGTGCTTAGACACGTTGAAACTCCGACACGCATTGCGACACATTACTATCACTGAGGGGGTTCTGCAAACTTTGCAGAACCCCCTCACCCCTTTATATCTCACTCCAAACTCAACCAGAGAATATCAGGTAAGCCCAGACAGGTAGATATACACTGGAATACACCCTCTGTGAAGTCAGAATGAGAATATCTGCTGTGGTTGAGGAGAGGGAGAGAAAAAACATCATCTCAGCCATGGGAAAGAAACAGTATCTCCTAGATCTCTCGTGATGAGCTGAATAAATTGCAGGAGCTGGCTTGGGGTATCATAAGGAGGGCATCTAAAGGATAGTATGCCAGCCCAATAGGTTGAATAGTGAGTGTGTTGAGATAGAGAGGTGACTTTGCACCTCTCCTGAGCCCATATTGTGACAAAAGTGTGACACCATTTGCGGCGAGGTCGAGAATGTCCAGGTGACTGGGAGGTTCACCCGCCGAATGTGTTCGCGAACGTGTTCAGCGAATGTCTGAGCACGTGAGGGGATGCCACGCCACCTGGTCCTGAGCCTAGGGAATCGCCACACTGCAACTGCTGTTGAGCGAGAAAGACAATGGCAGCTATGCTTTCAATCAATAAAGTACGGTTTTTATGCCCAAATCATTGTACCATAACCAGGGATATGGTATGATGACATGGGTCAAGATGTCTGCACCCAATGACTAATTATATGTATACAGGGCATCTGTGGAGGCATCATATTTGTGATGCAATGCCAGTAGTATTCACTATGGAAACTGTTAGGGGGAGAGCACAGAAGGGTTCATGTGACCCCAATTGGACAGACAGCTTTGATTACTCACACATTTGTTTTACAATTACCCAGCAATATCAATCTCACAGACTGATTACAATAAACTTACAAGTTAAAACCCTCAGGCTATGCAGATTTTATCATAAGCAGGAGGAGTATGCGTCTGTGGCCGGTGGACAGAGCCACAGAATCGACACGCACACACGTGCACCATGGTGTGGTTCTCACGTTCGCATTTGGAGTTCGCGAACATATTCGGCGGTGTGATCTCCCAGTGGGTCAACTTCCTGCATGTTTCAGTGTTTGCTGCTTGGCAGCTACAGCGGTGAGGTAAAATTATTTTCACGGGACATAAAGTACCATTAGCTTATCTATTAGCCATATGCAAGTCTACTAGGGCATAATAAATGAACCTGCTATGTGTTCAACTGTCCTCCTGACACTTTCTGTGCCACAATATGGCCCCGATCACTTAGTCAGTGTCACAACTCGCACCTGAGGATTGTACCAGGGGGCATCAGCTGGAGGGATTTGTGAAATCAACTACCTTGAGTGCCTGTCATCAGTGGTCATGGGGTCCTGCCTATGTAAGCCACTCCTCATTGGTCAATCGAGCACTTTCGCGGCAAGATTAGATTACATTGGGACACTAGAGATGCAACTAAAGTTGAATGGTGAAGCATCCGGTACTGCTATGGTCTCAGGATATTGTGCACAGGGACAGGTATGAGTATGAATACTTGGGCATGCAATGCACACAAATCTGATGCAAATCAAGAACCTCTGCTGTACAAAGATGTACACTACAAAGTTGAATCACCACCATACTTCAGTTATGGGCTACTGCAGCCGGAAGCGAGTGTACAAAATAAATTTGCACTAATTTGCAGGCCCTTTACTGTAGCTTCTCACCCACACTGACCAGTATAATAGTTGTTGCACTGTTAGAGCACACAGATGGTCAGCATTATCGCGCCAAAGGCAGAGCCCGCGACCAATGAGGGGCTGCTTACATAGGCAGGACCCCATGACCGCCGATGACAGGCACTCAAGGTAGTTGATTTCATGGAATTCTCCATGTGATGCCCCTTGGGTGGCTTATGTACTATAGGTGTGGACTTTTAGATCAATTAAAGAAATTAAAGAAATTAAATCGAAGGAGAGAGAGAAAGAGAAGGGAAAGACACTCTGTTTGGGCCCGTGAGCTTCAGAAGGGGTATATTATTGAAAGGGTATACTGGTGCTATATTCAGGGATCTCCAGTGGCTTGAAATATCCCTCGAGGCCAGTTTCTTTGGTTTTCATAGCACATGAATTTTGCTTCGCGGCGCTGCACATCAGATTAACTCTCTGAATAGCTTAAGGCAAAACCTGGTGGTGTTATAAGTATGAATGGACACCTCTATGTGTATCCCACTGCTCATGTGAATTGCAAGAAATTAAGCAACCTGGTTTGTATGTGGGTGCCCCACGTACTTCAGGGGGAGACTTGCTTTATCCGAGTTCTGCGGTCTTATGTAGTTATTTACCAGATTACTTATTTACAGAAGATATACAGTCAATATACCTACAGTAAGCGCGCAGCCTGGTCGGAAAGCGCCGACGTGGCGCTAACCCTAGCTTGGGGTTGCAGTGCGCGGGTGGTGTGGGAATTCGCTTTTGCATTTCGAGGCCCCTAGCACGACTTAAGGGGAAGCAAGCTCTCCCAATCATATTTCTTTCGGTGGTGCTGTCGCGCCGCTCACTTTATGCATCCCAAACTCGATGAACTACTTGTCACTTATTTACCTTCAGTACTTCTACCTAGCTACGTGCCCCGGATATTACAATACAGATATAACTCTTCAGCCCCAATTTTGGGAGCAAAATAGCACCATAAGCAGCAAAAAAAGCGCATTTTCGGTCAAATTCTCCAAAACAATATCTCTCTTTCATTTTACAAACAATTCTGGATGGAACCACTTCAGTAGGAAGCTTTCACGCGTCGTGAAAAGGTAGGGAGGCTGGAGGATGGCATGTACATGAGGTGCCACAAGCGTGAAAACACCTGCCGAATACAGTATAACAATTCGAAGTCCGAACTATATTATTGAAACTCAGTTATAGATCTATTCCGCCACGTCTATAGTATAACTGCCCCTTGGATTGTACGTTCTGGTCGCGCCTTACGGTCGGAAAACGGCTGTAATGTTTGAGCGGCTTGCGAATTCGAATCCATCAAACGTCCGAGGATGTATGTGATAAATGGTGATTTTCAACGTGCATATATACAGGCGACTGATCCTGGTATCTCACATACGACATAGGTATAACGAGGCAAATATTTTCGACTTATAGTATACATATGTTAAGCTGGACTGAACAGGAAAATGCAAGAGCGACAACGAGACAACGAAACAAGTAGACGACGGCAGGAAACTCGACTAACCCAAGACGCAAAACCCTTCATCACTAGAACCCATTGGCAGCCCCTCCAACCATTTGCTGCGTCTGTTGGTGCTGCATGGACGGCGATGTCATGGGTGTATGCGTTTGACGAGGTGGCGACGAATGGAGCTGGGGAGAGGAGATATTTACATTATGCAGGAGCGGGGAGGACGTGTGCGGGGTGAGGTGCGTGATATTGCCCTGTGGACCCTGCACAACGCTCGGAGGGCGAGCGACCATGCCGCGCGAAGGTACACGGCCAGGTACGCCCGGTATAGAATGCGGAATGTTGATGTTTTGATTCGGGGGAGACATCGAACCGTTCATATTAATAAGCTGACTGGCGTCCATACCGTTGCCGTGCTGGCCGTTCACTGACGGTGGTCGGTGGGGATGATGATTCGCCCACTGCATCTGCCGCTTTGGCGGCAGATTCAGATTGATGGGCGAGCCGCTTAAAGGAACATTGAAATTAGCACCGTTGGGGACGTAGACACCCGCTGGACGGCCCTGCATATTGCCCGGGTTCACAGGCAGCGAGAATGCTTGACCTGGTTGGACGTTGGGAGCGAAGACTTTCTGGATGACTTCGACCTGCTGCGGGCTGAGATTGCTATGGTGGGTGTACGGAGAGCCGTTTGGGAGGTTTGGAAATCCGTTGACAGCAGGAACATGTAATCCATTGACGGGCACGGACGGGTGCTGGTTCTGCGAGCTTGGCCGCACGGGAGAGCCGTTCGATGCGCTCGAAGACGGACGATCTGAGAGCTGGCTACCATCAACCTGTCCTGGCTGATACTGCGTCGTTCCATGGTGCCCGTTGGGGACAGCAGAATTATTGCCATCCGCGATGGCATTACTGGCAGCAATTGGCCCCGAAGCACTGAGATTGACAGGCTGAGACGGCGTCTGATGCGGCGGCGAAGACTGCAACGTCGGTACATTCGGCTGCGATATAGGCATAGTAGGCATACTGCGCTGTAGGTTGACACCAGACGAGATCCGGACCGGGCCCTGCATCATCTTCAAATGGGTCGGCAACGACACTGGAGCACCAGCTGCGCCCGGTGGCATAGTCAGCGGAATACCATTCGGATGCATGGCTGACGGGTGGGGCGGAGGCATGGGGTGCTGTCTCTGGGGATCGCGTCGCAATGACATCGGTACACCAAGCTTGAAAGGTATCACAGTTTGCTGACGGCCCTCCGAGTTCGTGATAGTCAGGGACGGATCGTTCGTGAGGCTTTGAATATCCTGTTCCCCAAGTAGACTCATCGCCTGTCGCATGTACCTAAGGGCAACAGTAAGCCACTATGTACTAGATCATCAAGGGACTAAACTTACTTTGGATCATAATCGTCAACCAGAACACGATCATATTCCTCAGGACCATCGGGGCCGTAGACCGGCACATCGTCGTCGGCATCGTACTTCCACCGCTCCGTCAGGCGCCACGCGCGCTCCCGCTCCTCGGCCTCGTCCACTTCCCTGTCAGGGAACCGCGGCCCGTATCGCGTATAGTCACACATAGTATTATCAGAACCGCCGAATCTCGTTGTCCGGATTCGACGTTCCACCCAGGTGCGCCCGCCGCGACCAGGACGCCTACGGAAAGCGCGATATTCGGGCGGTCCAAGATCATCCGGAGAAGAGGGCGAGTTCGTCGCGAACTTGTAGTGCCTCTGGATGAGGGAGACCTGCGGAGGTTGATAGGGATTCTGGCACGGGATGAGTACACCATGAAGACATGAAACAGCTACATCACTCACGTCGATGCCATCCTCCCAATGATGATCTTTCTCCTTGAGCTGCGCAAGGTCCCTCTCGATCTGTTTAGTGATCGCCGCGGCACGCTCGCGGGGCTTGATAGCAGCCTCGACAAGCGGCGATGGCGATCCCAGTTCCCCGGTGTCTCGAGTGCGCAGCTTGATCGACGGGGGCAGACGACTGTGAGTGCCCGACATGATGAGTGAGGTGCCACCAGCAACAAACGTGGGAAAAGACATACCCGGACAGACCGTCTGTTTTGGCCTTCTTCGCGACGCGCTCCTTGTCGAAGAGCAGCTCCTCGTCTTCCTTGACCGCCAGCGACGGGAATCTCGTCCGGAGCTCCACGAAGGCGAGCCGCTTCTCCCAGACTTGCTGCGCTTGCTGGGCCGCCTCCCTCTTGAGGAGCTCTCGTGTCCGAACATGCCCGCTCAAATCTAGAGACAGCGCAAGTTCTGACTTCAAGCGAACGAGCTTTTCGGAGTAAGAGACTTGGGAGGCGCGGGTCTTCCTGACGGCCTTCAGCTCTCGTCGCCGGAAACAGATGAATGACTCGTTCTTGCTGTCCGCCTCGTCGAGCTAAAATCACGTCAGTCACGGGATAGAACCCAAGGCGCAAGGGTCTCACATTGAGGGAAGGTATGATCCTATGCCCGCGGCGTTCTATCCGACGCTCGCGCCAGTACGGGTAGATAACTTTCGCCAGACGTAGCAACTGCGCAGGCTCCGGCACCCATTCGGGCACCACAAAACTAGCGAACATGGATGCAGGCAGCTTCGTCGCAAACGTCTCCTGGTAGTCTGAGAACGGCGGAAAAGCCATGCCCTGCTCCAAGCCCTTGATCGCTAAATGTGAGCACTCGCAACAACGCTTTGAGAGGCTGGAGTGCCCTACGTGATGAAGATACTCGGTCTTGTCATGGGTCACTTTCTCGAAGATGCCCATGACCAACTCGAACTCTTCCTCCGACATGGCGACAGGAGACGTGACATCGGGCTCCTTGCCCTTTCCCTTGCCGCCCCGTCCTAGGCCTGAGCGCGTCGTTGTGCCACCGGAGGAAACGGCGCCCTGCGCGCTGGTGCCTTCCCCTCGGGCTTCCTCATTATTCTTCTCTAACCATTCCTGGTCGCGCTCATCCATGTAATAGGTGAACCCATTGGCAATGGCATCCTTGATCGATTCTTCGACCGAATCGGACGAGCGGATGTAATTGAACGGGTCTGTCCATCGTCCAGGTGGATATAAATCTGAGTACCCTTCCAATACTTCTCTAGAGTCGGGGACGGGGATATAAGCTTGCTTCTCCTCCTTCGCCTTCTCATTTCCGCCACGCGACGTTCGCTGCGCGTTGGCGTGCTGTCTCTGTGAAGCAGCAGACAGGACGGCCTGCAGATGGTGTTCCTGGATAAGGCAAGCTTAGTCAGCAAACTGAGGCAATGGACTCCCACGCTCGCAGCCAATCAGAATGCGCCACGCCATGCGTTCCAACAGGGGGCGACGCGGACGACAGAAACGGCGGCGACGACTCACGTTGGCATCCTCGGCGTCGACGCCGGCGGTAGAGACGACCCGAGCCTTCTCCTCCTCCTCGTCGAGCACGAGCGGATCGGCATCGATGTTCCCGCGGACGACCTTGAGGCGAGTTTTGTTGGTGACGCGGTTGCGGTTGCGCAGGGTCGTGGCAGCAGCAGTGTGGTTTCGAGGCATGTCATGGAGTGCAGAGAAGGGCAGCCGAGAGCGGGAGGCAGGGACGAGCAGGAGGAGGCCCCGAGCTCGCTATGCGTGGCAGCGACGGCGCTACGGTTTCGGGTGGTCAAAGCGTCGGTGGGTTTGGCCGAGACCCGGTCGGCCCGAGAATAAATTTATGTAAACCTCGGCTCGGACCAACCCAGTTCGGCATGCGGCTGTGGCCGCGCTCTGCCCTTGTGGCCCGGATGCCACAAGATAATGTGCGTTGAGACGACGCTGCGACTGCTCTCATGTATGCTACTCTTCAAAACTGTCGAACGGAGCCTGGCACTGTTTGTACCAGGGTGGCACGCACAAGTCAGGAAGGCCCGCCGGCATGTCACGTGAGATGCACTCACCGGTGTAATGAGACATTCATTCCGCGAAGGCGGCAGCGAAGGGACATGGAGGAAAGCAATTCTGGTACACGACAATATGAAGAAAAAGTATAGACGCACCTGCAGAACGATTCGTCGCCAGCGTCTTCGTTATTTCTGCTGTCCTCTTCCTCGTGCCAAGGAAAGCCCCGACATCGGTGCACGCCACGAAGAGCGCGCTCATTGCATCGCGTACTTCGTGTCTGCAGATGAGGGAGACCTTGCTTTGCAGGAGGCCGACGCATTCCTGTGAATTTGCAAGAATGTCAGCGAGTTGCGACACCCACCGCCCTCATCGGAAGTGCAGCCTATCGATGGGCCGGCTCACTCACCTAGAAAAGAGCAGCCGCTGAAAGAATACGCCATTTCGGGCTCAGGATAACGAGGATTGACGAACCAAACACACTGCTGTTCGGGCGTCAACAAAATTTCGGCGGACGATAGGATACTGGCATACGAAGCAAGAGGACTCACAGATAAATGCATTCTCTGCCCTCTGTTCGTCGAAACCATCGCCTTATACAACCATCGCAGCGCCCTTACACCGTCGTCCGACGGCGCAGACGTACGCAACGCGCGAAGACGGTACGGAGAACATGTGCGACAACGTACAAGGGCAGGACACTTGAGCCTGAGCCTCTCAAGGAAGCGACCATCCACGTGGGCGGCGAAAGCCGACTTTTGACCTCATAGTTCCAGGAATGGGTCTGCCAGACTCCCTCCCAGCGTCCCTGCTAGTAAAGGAGGTATATCACTGATTAAACCAGGACTAGGAGGGAGGCTAGATTATTCCCCCTTCACCGGTCGCTGGAGACACTTGGAGTGCGGGGAAGGGGGGTCTCTTTCTTTGCAAGCACTCTCACCGATATGTCGAAAATCGGCGATGCTCTGGACGAAGGAGATATCGGGCTCTACACCTTCACCGCGCGTTCGCAGGAAACGCTGCCTAAGACTTCGCAGGGACGCGCAGGGATCTCCAAATTATCTGCCCAGGCATTATCAGCCCGCCCGCATTCACCGGTGAGGTCGAGGACGCTGCCGCGGACGCATCGGAGGCCGTCGCAGACAGTCACGCCGCCTCTCGAGCCGGACAAGCTGCGCGGGATGCGGAGGTGGATACTGGGATTTGTATCAGGCACGTATATACCACGGTCTTTCCAGCTAACTGCGACCAACAGTGCAAGTCTGGATCTTAACGTCGGATGCTGCTCTAAATCCATACAGCCCCACATAACACGAGATAGGGAGGTATGGAGGAAATGGAGCTCTTTCCCCCCCTATTACGCTCCGGCGCAAAAGATCCGAACTTCCACTATTGCTTTGTGGTTAGCTGCCATGCTTTACTCGAATCCCGCTAACGAGACGTTATATGAAAAGTCAACTTTGACCTTGAATTCGGGCCGACGGTCGAGTCGGTGTACCCTCATGCCACGCTCTCCCATACAGAAGCGGAGAATATGTACGTTATCAGGCTCATGCACCAGTCGAAATATTTCCAAGCGGTTTCTAGCGCGTTCTCGTCTTTCCCCGACTGTCCCCAATTCGAAGAAGGCTCGCAGACCCACTCCTTCCGCATCCGGGACACGACTTCACTCCAAGGAGCCGTATCTAGACCGACAGAACGTCCCCCGCCGCTTGACGGCTTCCTCTACGGTTTCGCATTCTTCACGCAGAGCAGAGACAGCTCCTCGAAACGCGGGTATTCGCAGGTAGCGGCACCGAACCCCGCGCCTGCCATCGCTAACTGATATAGTACCGCAGCGCTCGCTCGTCCTGCTGACGCACCATCCATACCCTGCGCTCTTCGATGCCGTGGTAGCCATCGTCGGTCCGCTGTATTCCCGGCACGGCCATCCAATGCTGGAGACCGCGTGCCATAATATCGCCAACTGGTAGGTCACGATGTGTAGTGCGTGGTCCGGTTGCGTTGACCTGGTGAACCAAGGTAGGCCAGATCCGGCCAAGGGTATGAGCTTGGAACTTGGTTTCCTCGGATCCGTCTTTCAAGTGGATTTGCCGGGGAGTAGCAACGAACAGCAAATGCCGAGCTCGAGCGCCTTATCCGACAAGTTCGGTCCTCACAGGGTAAGTCTAGGCCGTTCTCGCAGTCCGTCATGAATGACATCCCCATTCATGCTAACAGATACTGGCAGCCACGGCTCCGGCAGACCCGCCTATAATTGTCATCTTGGAAGAATCGCTGTCGCATCTGTGGTCAATATGGGAATGCCTGGTCTTGTGCGAGCCGGTACTGATTTACGCGCCGTCGCCTGAATTGACCAGCCAAGTTGCCTGGTGGCTGCGAGACATCATTCGCCCTGTGAGACTCAAGCGAGGTCCACGGCTATAAGTTGCTAAATGATCTAGTTAGATTCCTCTCTCGGGAGACTTCCGGCCGTACTTTACGATCCATGACCAGGACCACTCCACCCTGGTCAACAAGATGCCGCCGAAAGCGGGTCTCATACTCGGGATTACGAATCCGCTTATAGAGCGAGCCTGTAAGCACTGGCCGCATTTACTGAGTATAGGATGTAACAGAAGGTATACACGCAGCAAACGTCCCTGTTTACGCGCTTATACGAAGCTTGGCAGTGTACATGCCCCTGAGAAGGGCCTGGCTGGCCCCAAGCCGGGCTGGGCCACAAAGACGCACAACCGGTACGTCTCAAAAGACCGAGCATTGCTCAAGAAAGTCGAAGACGCCCGCCATGGCGATGTCCGATCTCGTGCGTCCCATTCATCCATCTGCACACGTCGTTTTCATATCGATTGCATTCTGACGACATTCGTCTGTAACAGAAATCGAAGCGTCCCTGGCACTTCGGCGGCACTTTGGGTCGAGAACGAACGAGCTGCTCGTCCCGCTGCACAGATACCTCAACACACTGATACCCCCGCCGTCCGCATCGACGGCGACTCCGCGCCGGCTGAAGGCGTTCAGCACGACGGACTTCCTCGCATCGCTCAAGGCGCACGGCTCGCCGCTGCCCTTCCGCTCGGGCAGCCGCCGGACAGAGTTTTATTCGCGCTGGCTGCGCACGCCCGCGTTCGGGCTCTGGCTCGCCCAGCAGGAGGAGGTTGTGGAGGAAGCGTTGAGGGGTGCCCCGCGTCACCAGTGATGCTCACCGTGTGCTCGGGTGACTCGTACTCTACAAGGATCGTTCTCGAGTTCTTTCCTCTTCATCTCCCTTCGAGTTACATACACAGAGATACCTGCGGGGAAGCTTCTGGGCCTCGGCCTCGGCCTGTGCCACACATGTAAATACAACCAAACAACGCAGTGGCACAAGCGCGCGCACTGCTCTTTCAGGACTTCGTACTTGTTCACTGACACCTGTTTCCCGTCCGCTGATTCATACGCTCTGTGCCACTCCGTCAGGCTGTTCTTTGGTCGCTGTCGTCGCCCGCGATGTCTAGTTTCGCCGCGCTCATGGCGCTGAGCGCCACGCAAACGAAGGAGAACGAGCAGATGGTCAAGAACGCGCTGGCGGAGAAGCGCAAACGCGAGGAGGAGAAACGGAAGGAGCAGGAGCGGAAGGAGAAGCTGGAGAGAGAACGAGAGGCAAAGATGCGCTTGAAGAAGCTGGAGGAGCAGCAGCGCGAGAAGGAGCGCCAGGAGAGGCTGGAGAAGGAGCGGCGTGCTAAGGAGGAGGAACTGCGCAGGCGCGAGGAGGAACAGCGCCTGGCGCTCATGTACGGGCCAAAGAAGTCCAAGGTCGACTATCCCACCTCGAGTTCAAGCAGTCGGGACGAGGTGCGAAGACAAAGGATGCCCTCGCCAGACGATGCAGGGCCGTCTGCTCTTACTCGCGAAGAGAAACGCCAGCGGAAGATGGCCATGGAATTTCGGAGGTCGTACGGGTCGTCGGGTGGCGGCGCACGTCGCTCAGGATATGGCAAGGCTGGCCGACTTCTGCCAGGTGGTGCAGTCAATATCACGACCGACACGCCTCCCTCTCCAGGACAAGGAGACAGTCATCAATCTGTGAAGGCCCGTCTTGCAGCCATCCCCAATACTTTGACGAAATTGAACGTTAATAAGCGAGACACGCGGACTATCGACGAGATTCTGCAGGACCGGGCGAAGGAAAGGGAGTCGAAAGTGCTCGCTGGAGACCAGGCGCGTGAGTTCAACGACTGGTTCGGGTCGTCCAAGAAGAAGGAGAAGGAGAAGAGCACAGCACGCTCTGCTACGCCCAACACCGGATCCAACACGCCCTCGCAAGTACGGTCGACCAGTAAGTCGGAGGCATTGATATGCATGCTCACAATCTGGTTCATGTCTTATATGATCAGAATCCGCTTCGCCTGGACTTTTCTCAGATTCAGGCGCTCCTCCCACTCAAACCAAGAAATCCGCTCCTGCTTCGAATGCGTCTCCTGTGCCTACAACTATTCCCAAGTTGAGCGCAGCGAGTACAGCTAAATCGGCGACGGCATCTAAAGCAGCTGTGGCCCGTCCAGCTCCTTTAGATATGAGATCTCTCTCATCTGTGAAAGCTGGTATGAACGGCACGAAGACACCGACGTCTGCTGTAAAGGCTACCGGATCTACGAAATTGTCCACAGCTTTGGGCAAACAAGCTGTATCGTCATACGCTTCCAGCGTTGCCGCTGCGAAGAAGCGACCTCGCTCGCCTTCCTACTCCCCTTCGCCATCTCCTCCTCCCACGAATAAGCGTCGCGCTATGTCTTCCGGGCCATCGCGCACGGGTGTCAGCGATATCAGCTCGGAAATCTGGAAGATCTTCGGCAAGGACCGGAGCAGGTACATGGAACGAGACGTTCTAAGTGACGACGAGGATATGGAAGTCGATGCACGCCTGCTGGAAGCCGAGGAGAAACGGAGGTATGACTTCAGCGTCGTAATCACGATGTGCCCGGCGGTGTTGATTGTTGTGTTCTAGTGCCCGCATCGCGAAGAAGGAGGACGAGCTTGCCTTACAAGAGGAAATGCGCCGGGAAGAGGAGAAGCGACGCAAGCGGAAGGAGCGCGAGGCCCGGGAGAGGGCCGCCACAAGAAACTAGAGCTCGCTCTCAATCACTACAGCATTATCATATGGATCCCCCAATCGTATACCTCGCGGAACGTGGCGTATGTGAAAATAATAGAAGTGGAGGGGCCGCCGTGGCTACAATATTTGGTATCGTTAACTGCATTCGACATGGACTAGACTCACCGCACTTGATTGTATCATCCCAATGACATGTACTCGCCGATCTTCAACCTGGCCTCTTGGTTTCTACTGTAACAGACTCATGTATATATACCGTGTAGGGTGAAATATTATTCTATGTGGACGATGTGTCGTGCAAGTGAGCAAGGCCGCTGACGACTTAGATCTGTATAATGGTGAGTGTATAATGGTTCATTTACCTGAGCCATACATCTAAGATAGTTCAGTGCTCCGTTAGTCAACTTCACGCCAGCATTCTGTCCAACTGTGCATGCAGGATTAACATCACCGCCCATGCCTGTGGATGGTCCGTCCGTCTCAACGAAAAGCGAAAGCCGTGGCCTACCAGAGAGATAAGTGTCCGTTTGACTGGTGGCCAGCATCCTCATCACATGCATAGGTGCCTTATTCGTATTCTATAGTCTTTTGTAGAACTTGCGGATACGGGTAACGGTGGGTGAGCATGGACCCTCCACTGCACCATCGGTACTTCCATCACGGCCTCGACACTGTGTCTATTTGATGCTGCGGAATGCGTGTTCGTACCTACTGCTAGTGCTAGGCGGTGTGCAGGTTTCTCATCCTTTGTTCCGGTGCCGGCCAGTACTTACAGTACAGAACGTGTTTGACCTGGCCCTGGGTGCTGACTTACTAAGGGGAACTACAGCCTGCCAACCATTATGTCTGAGTGTCGGCCTAGTAGGTCCACGCGTTAGACGAGGATCTTCCACTGGCCTGTCACAAGCTCCTCTCCACGGCGCGTGTATCCCTGCTGATATTCCTAGTTGCGCATGCCCTTAACAGTACCTCCGCAACATACGCACCAGTCATTCGCTTCTTGCTTCCGACAATATGAATAACATCGCTATTATTAATCGCCAAGCAGCGGCTCTACAAGGTCCCTGCGAGGGTGTCATTCCCCCGTGTCCGCCAGAGTTGCAGAGAATGCAGGGCAAGGGCACGTTCCTGAAGAGTTCCTCGGATCAGGCCCAGGGGATGCGGAGGAGCCTTTGGCTCAACTTTGGCAGAAAAGAAGAGAACGACGTCTCCGCCTCTGGAGAGCACATAAATCGCTATAAATGCAGTAAGCGTAAATTATGACGCATAGCTCAACCATCGCTCGACAGATGGTATTTTGACGATATATTACACAGTAACTTTAACCAAGACTTCCCCACCTGTTTCGCCATTGGAGCGGAGGACTTGAAGAGGATGGAAATACGCAACGAGCGTCCAGTTCGTTGATATGTCATTAGTGCGGCTGTTCTAGAATGTAACGTGGCGCATGTAACTGATATAAGAATGCCACTGTCGACCCAAGGCCAGGAACAGGACCCATGGCAGGTGGAATGAAACTGAGAGGTTAACACTGGGATACAGCCCTATCCCCAAAGAGCGCACTTGTGAGCTAGACAGTCGCTCATTATACAACCTGTGGCAGACGCATGTACATGTACACGGCGTACGGCGGGTTGGTGCGGGGAAATAGTATGCGTCAATTGTTCATGTCGAACCAGCGCTCGGAACCTATGTCCACTCGTAATCGGAGGAAGTAAGTCGCTTGCGGCGATGCGCGAAGCTATGCAAACCTACAACTAGCATCAGAATCAGCGAAGATTGTCGGAGGTTTGCGGCTGGAAAGTTGAAACAACGGGAAGTCAGGAATCCTAAAACGCACGAGTGTATCGTGGTTTAACAGCCATAATAATGGTTGCACAGCATAGCTTCCATGGTAGTAGATCTCCCGATCCATAGCCAGGTGATACTCCCGTGCTATGGGCGACACGGCATATGGACTTTCGGGTTCTTGAAGGATCCGATCGCGCCTGTGCGTACCGCCGGGTGTCGCCCAATGACTGACGTCTAAATCGGTAATACCTATACTTAACATACCTGTGGAAAATCGGTACCGCTGGGATATATGGCTGATAGGGAGCCCTTGGCGATTGGGTCCCGTCGTCAAGGCCGCTACATGTTAACGGCGTTTCTTGGTGTAGAAGGAGGAAAGCAAGGTGACCCGATCGAGGGTCCCATCATGATGCCACTTCTGGATGAAGACAAAAGACATCGGCCACCTACGAGCGTGGTCGTTCACAAGCTTCGCTATCTTGAGGTCTAGGGAAATGAATGAGTTCCTGGACGACCAACCAGCGCGAGGGTGCTATATCCGCTGCCACATGACCTACGCTGAAGGCGCAAGGCGCACAGAATACCCACTAAAGATTGACAAGTAAGCTTCTATCGTGGATACCAACTGTTCAAACAAACCAGCCTGAAGAATGTATCATCAGGATCTGGAATCTGTACCGGTTTTGAGTGATAGGTCAGAAAGAACTTGGTGATGGAACGGAATGATGGGACTTCACATGGCTTGCAAATGAGCGCTGACCTAAGGCTCGCCGCAGGCGACAGCAAGGACGTAACGCATCGGCACGAAGCCTTGAGATCTCTGAGAAGCTCGTAGCTTGGACTTGATTGTGCCGGGACTCAGCCAACACCGAAAGACGGACGGTACATGTAACCATATATCAGTCCGATCGTGGAAGAAGCTGGCGAGATCCTAATGCCATGTCGGTGGAAAACATAGGCGGTGTTACAGTATAGTCGCCCTGCCAATCTGATGAAACCTCCCGAGACGAGATACAGGAGAAGTTGTTCTCGATCATGGCCTATGATCAAGTGCTGCTATCATGTTAGCGCCTCCGTCAGATCTATGAGGTAGGAGGTATAAAGCGAGGACCCGTCAGTAGCTGGGATGCAGACACCGTCTCACCTAGAAACATACCTCACAATGCTCTTCTATACCGCCATTCTCTCGTTATACACATTATTGACGGCCTTCGCGGCATTATTTCGGAAAAAATAGTGAGTCCCCAACCCGATCATCCGTGAGGCACAAGAATAAAACTGAAACCTTGACCCCAGCTCAGGCTCACACACGTCGCTGTACGACAATTCGCACTGCGACGACCCAATAGAGGCTGAGGACCATCAGTACCACAAAGAGGAGGGTGCAAGCCGCTCACCATGCCCTGCCTTGAACGCCCTAGCAAACCACGGCTACCTGTAAGTCGTGTCTACCTTATCACAGTCACCCCGCTAGGGCCAACACTGACACCCGCGCCCCGCAGACCGCGCAGCGGCACAAAGATCCATTTCCGCCAGCTCGCCCGTGCGCTGCACGACGTCTATCACCTCTCGTACCCGCTCTCCGCCTTCCTCGCGAGCGCGGCCTTCGTCGCGCTCGGCCAATTCTCCGACCTGTCATTGGGCGACCTGTGCCGGCATAACCACATCGAGCACGACGCGTCCCTCGCGCACCGCGACGCAGCGCCTGAGCAGGAGTACGCGCCGTGCAAGTGCAGCCGCGGGATGCTGGAGCGGCTGTTGTCCTTCTCGTCCGACGGGAAACACCTGACAGTGGGCGACGCGGCGCGGGCGCGCGCGGCCAGGGAACGCCAGTACGCGCGCCCGCTGGACGGCGTGCACGCGGAAATCGCGAGGGGGGAGGTGGCGCTCGTGCTCGGAATCTTTGGGGGCCCGGAGCAGGAGGTGCCGCTGGACGTGCTAAGGACGTGGTGGCGCGACGAGACGTTCCCCACGGGCTGGAGGCCCACGGGCAGGCAGTCTTTCTTCAAGACGGTGTTCACGGCATGGAAAATCCGGCGGCATATGAACGAGATTGGGCTGGCCGGATCGCGCTAGTCGATCAGCCATGTGCTGGCATACGAACCTGCATACGACAGAATGACTTGTACCAGAGGCTATAGGGTGACATTCGGATGACTACATGATCCTATTTATTTATTATCCGCAGTAGACCGAGCATCACATACACATAAATTATTAGCACCATATCCTAATGTATACAGATCACGACGCACGTAATGACACACTTTGTAACGTCCAGGCAGCCCTGCCCATGCGCCTAACGCAGATAGACAAAGCGTACGAAAAGCCTTGCCACCAGGTACAGTGAGAGTGCCAACTCGTCCTTCACCTGTAACAGACTCATTGTCGATAAGCCCTGTCATGATTCATACAGGGGTTTTCCGTTCCTGCGAAATGATGTACCTGATTCACATATTAATGCACTATTCGTAGGTGACAGCGCGGACCACCCACATCGGAAGATTTGGCAGCCGGCGCTGGTCACCAGAATTCCAGTGCTAGTCAATGGTAACCGTGGATAGAACCGAACATGTTCCGTTGTTCGATGAGACGTGAAACAAACTGGCACGCGCTCACTGAAGAGCATCCGTGAAAGGTAGCACTCACAGCACTGGTGCGCTTGGTTATCATTTGGACAAGTGGAGATCGACACCCATGTCAGTCATGCAAGTCTCCGCTGGCCCGAGCGCAGATCCTCGGCTGCTGCTGTGCAGGTAGGCACCGGATATTTATCCATACAGCCAATATCCGTCCAATCCAACCGAACCCTGAACCGTTCCGAAGAGCAGTCAGAACAGGTCATCAACCTAAGGCATGGGCTAACGTATGCCGCCCGACTACAGCATATTAGTCCCCTGAATCGACAGCCCTTTCATGCGTATCTTAGTCGGACAGGGCCCGAGCTGGCGCTGAGGTTGAATGGACTTGAATCTGAACTATGTCGACAGACAGAGTCTAAGATGAAAGAGCATAGAGCAGCGCCATTTCGAAAAGCGAATGCACCGTCGCATGCGGTTGAGGACAGTCGAGGAGACGGACTGTGGCCTAATGTGGCTTTCCGAGGAATCTCTGAACACGTGATATGAACGCGCAGCCTATTCGCTCCCCGCGTAGCGGAGTCCAAAGTTTTGTCAGGGAAGTCTACCGGCGGCTCAGAGCCTCAGACTTGCGTCTGAACCTCTCTCAGTACTATACTTCTATTTAATACGCTCTTTACGACATTCTACTCTACACTTTCTTCCGTTTAATCACTACTTTACGGTCTTCTATCCGCTGCAGGCATGGACACAAAACGCGCTAAGCTCGGACTGTTCTCTTTCTTGCTCCTTTCGTCTTTCTTGCCACAGACATTAGGCCATGCCGGTAAGACTACCCTCAAATGCGAAGTCTAACCTCTTTGTACAACTTTTCGTTAGCAATTTGGCACCCATCGATGTACGGCTTCAATGTCACAGAGAAGACGTTCTCATACGATAACCGCCCCGTCGTGCCGTTGTACAACATGCCTTTCAAGCAATGGTGGTTTCACAGCCACCTTGACTATCCCCCACACCCGTCGGACGTCTATCAGCTGCAGCCAGGCCGCCCCGCGACGCTCGAGATCGCGTGCAACAAGCAGTCCACGTCCTATTTTGCTTCTTCGGGATATAGCAACCACCAGTCGGGAGACAATCCCTGCCCGGGGTCTCCCCCTAAGCAGTATCATGCGCAGAACATCTCGGACACTAAAGGGTGCGTCGCGGCACGATGTTTGCCTCCGATCTGTTGTCACGAAAGGCAGATGCGCGCTGGCAATCGCGTACAAGAGCGACGTGAACGATATACAGCCGGAGGACTTTGCGGTGTTCAGCGTCAATCACACCTGCGTCTGGCACCGCTTCACCGAGTTTCTTGTCCCGGCGCGGATGCCGCCATGTCCACTCGGAGGCTGCCATTGTGCGTTTTTCTGGATACATTCTGTACGTTTCTTTTTCGATTTACCTTTGCGGAGGTCCGAGTAAAAATTCATTTCAAAAAGCCCGATGCAGGCGACGAGCAAAGTATGTCTTCTCTTTCCCACACTCCGCTCACTCCCTGGATGATTCCCTTCCCCTTAGTGTACATGAACGGGTTCAAATGCAACGTCGTTGACCCCTTGTCCACCGTCCCCATCGCAAAATCCAAAGTCGCTAGGCGCTGCGGCGCGGACCCGCAGAATGGCAAGCCCCATGCCGACCCCTCCAACTGCACGTACGGAGCGAAGCAGCCGCTGTACTGGCTCCAGAAGGAGCGGAACAACGTAGAGCCCCGTATTTCGTTGTGTTGGGCAGGGAGTTGCTCACACGAGGATAGATGCACGAGGGCTATTACTCCCCGCCGTTCTACAACGACCTGTATAACTTCAAAGAGGGCGCGCAGGACGATATTTTCGAGGACTCGTACAGCAAGCCCGGCAAGGACGCAGTGGTCCCGCGTGATGTTGGTAACCTGCCCCTAGTGCCAGTCGTCGGCACCGAAGCGGATGCCGCCGAAGGACTGGTGCGTGCCATCCCTCCCTCTATTCCGCTCGCGGTTGATGGGCATTCTCGCGGTTGATGGGCATTGACCTGACCTGACGTGGATCAATGCTGTTGCAGCCCAGTTTTAGGCCAATAGCAATAGCCGCGGAGAAGGATAATGATGCGACGTCTGCCGTGTCTGGTAATGTGAGCGCGGAAGTATGGCCTGCGCAGCCGGGGACGCTGAGTATTCTCCTTGCGCTTATGGCTGTCGTTGTTATTGGAGTGTGGTAGACTGTCTTCAGCCGTTCATGTATCCTACTGGCTATACCACGTTTCGTCACTTTCGTTTTTTCGAGGGATGGTGCGCTGCAGCGGAGATTCCTCAAGAGTATGTTCCTCAAATTGTATGGGCATCTGGCAAGTCAGGATCTGGGTAACACATTCACGTCGACCGCTTGATGACATTGCAGGACGAGTCCCCCCAAACGAGGATCCGCGAGACGAAGCCTCGTCACTCTGATTGACTTCCAGTAGAAATTGCGGTCGATACAAAGACTTGACAACTGATATGATGTACATCTCGAACGACTCCGCCATTATTCAATGCGATGGATTCTTAACTTGAACGGCACCCGATCTCCAATCTCTCCAGCAACCGTGGCCCTCGGCACTATGGACTTAGTGGTGACCAGCTTCGTGTGGGGACCGTCCCTCAGGCTAAAGGCATAATGCCGGATCAAGACGCTGACGACAGCCTTCAGAAAGTTAAGTCAATCGACGCAGACAGCACGTTTGTAGAGTATCATTACCTTCATCTCAGCCAAGGCAAAGTTCCTGCCTATGCACATCCTTGGGCCGTCGAGGAAAGTGAGGATATGCCTCTGGCCTTGCGATGGCGCGTCCCCATCTTCAAGCCATCGCTCAGGTTTGAACTCCAGGGCATCCGCACCCCATATGCTGGCGGAACGATTCATGCACGAGATTGGGATAACAATTCTGGTGTCTTGTGAGAGAGTAACGCTGTGTACGATCCGTCTGTGGCGGGTTGTGACAGGTGTGCTAAAGGGAAGACTGTCGTCATTTGTAGCCTGACATGGAACTCAGTTCCAGCGACCAGGGCTGTTATGGGGACGACACTGTTATACGCACCACGCGCCATGTCTCCGTCAAGGCTGGATGCAGCCTCAGAACCTCCTGGACCACAGCGTCCAGGTAGGGCACCCCGCCAGTCAGGCTTGCCCAATCGGGGTCATTCGGTCCAAGCGTCTTAACCAGCGCTTCGCGCAGCGTGGCCTGTTTGTCTTGTGCTTGCGACAAGCAGACGAGAATCCACTAGCGCATGAATCTGTTGAAGCGTTTAGATAGCTTATTGTCTCTGGACCCACCGTCATGGTCGCTGTCGGAATATGTCAGAGACGGAGACAATTAAGACGGAGAGAATTAAGATGGAGAGAATTAATGCTGGACAGGAACTTACCAGCGGATGATTCGTAGCCCGCAACAAGCAGGGTTTTCATCTGGAGAGATCCGTCAAAATCGGGTCACCTTGTTTCATATCAGAGCTCACTTCATCTGACATCTCTTTCTTAGTGGCGAATACACCGTGACCCGACCCCCCTTTGTTCGCTTGCACTGTTTTGCTCTTCGTTTCGTTATACATCTTTCTTAACGCTAAATGCACTTACGCAGCAGCCCAATGATCGAGTTATCATCTGAAATAGTCTGCCCGGGCAGCCTGCTCGGCCCGAGCCATCATCTCAGTGCACACTTGGGTCATCTTCGCATGCAGAGCTGACACCAGATTACTGTACGCGGTCGGCATCATGAACGCCAGCACAGGGAAGACAGGTGCCATCATGAACGTGATGGCCAAGAGGACTGAAGGCTTGAGGTTGTTAAAGTCACCGAAGGATTTGAGCAATGTATCCCGATTGTCGTGCAGCGTTCCAAAATCGTGCGAGTAGCCAGCTATGCCGACGGTGTCAAGGCTAAGAATGAAATATATCAATAATACGCTGTTGATATCGAAATACGGTGGACGGATACGCAGCGCGGTTCATCCATTGGTAGGGGGGCTGAGAGGGACATCGCAAGGAGTAATAGGCTACTTGCCAATGCTGTACGTCAATGACAGCCTCGCGAGACTCATTGGCCTCTAGGGTACGTTCCGAGGTCAATCTCACCTAACATGATCGTTAGCTATTGGCATCCTGGGAAGCAATCAACCTACTTTGTGGGCAGTGTCAACGAAAATCGCTAACAAGATGCGCACGGCTCCAACAGTGATGATTGGTTCGCTGGATTGCCATACCGTTGATGATCCGGGCCTTCCGCCCACACCAAGCCACGGCCAACCTATGCAAACAACCTTCTAGACAAGAGGACTTGAGGGAAAGCCATGCTCACCAAGTTCTCGGTCCCTCGCTTGAAGTGCGTGGGCTTCGCGTACAATGTCGCATCCTTTGCAAGGAGGTGGGAGAGAGCCGTTGGATCGCTCAGGACAACGTCCCCAGAACCAGCTGCTCCGGGTATCTCGTACACGCCGCCGTACAGCGTTTCCCATTGTTCGTACAGTTCACCGCGGTCCGCAGCGTCTTGAAGGCTCCTCCGTACACCCCACAGAATGGTCTGGCTAGGAGGACCTTGCAGTAACGTAGCGTTCGACCGCAACTTCCGCGTGCGGGCAATAGCAAGTAGAATGCACACAAATACGAAGCGCCCGAGGATGAGTACGTCGCGGGTGGATGGGAATGATGGGCAAGGAGCACTGGCAGGACATCGCACTCCATATATACTCGTAGTGAGCATTGAGATAGACGATGTGACCGTTGTAGGACACATCGTGAGCGTCTGGGGAAGGCTCAGTACAGTATACCGATGGCCCCAAAAATAGTTGGAATCTTAAGAGACCCATGTCACCGGAGCAAGAGTGGGGAAATGACATGCACAAACGGTGATTCCAGCTAAATACAAAACGATAGGCACTTGCCTGACTTTTCAGGATGGAGTCTCGGTGACATAGATGGTCCGTGTCAACACGAATATGATAACATGGACTAGTCTCCCAGTCCACGCCCATCGTCCGTGCTCCAAGCATGGCGTCCTCCTACCGTATTTGACGCCTCCTTTGTCACTGGCATCCGGACTCCATCCCAGGATTTCTGTGAGCCTCTATCGTTTTGTCGCGAGCTGTCAAGGATTCAGTGCTAAGTGACCCAACATCCTCCAAAGCGGATTCACCGGATGTCATGGGAGAAAGGGGAACGCGCTGTTTGAAGTGGGTAGACATGCAGTGCGTGGGCCCGACATGGGCTATCCGACTTAAAACTCGAGTGGCACATGTCCTCCGTCCGAGATTCTCGGAGAACCCAACTCCTGAAGGGGAACACCTTGGAATTGAGATAAGAAACGGACCTACAGAGACGTTTGGTCAACTAGAAAAGGGGGGGTCAGGCAAAAACACACTTCCTGGTAAAAAATACCTCACCAAACCGGGTGCGAGAGGACCGCGATTCTTCCCCAGAGCTGAGAACCGCGCTAGAGGAATTGATGCATCATGAAGAAAGGCAATAATATAGTACGCATATAACATAACAGGATTGGAGGCTGACGTTAGTATGATTCGCAGGTCAAAGGCTCTAACTTGCCGAGCAAGTTATAGGTTGCATTACGCAGGACGCATGTTCGAGTTGCCCCAAACAAATACGGATAAATACAGTTTGATGTCTGCATTCCTGTTATGCTGCAAGAAAGACGACGCCATGAATAGTAGTCAGACTACAGGGTGCGGCAGCAAGATCTAGACGCGAAACTCTGGACGGGCATTCGGTATGCCACAAACAAGTATAAAGAAAGACGGTTTTTGAATTGATCCCAGACGTGCAGAGGTCCTTGCTATGTTAGACGCAAGGTAACAACAAGCTTAAGGCACATAGGAGTTAGACCTATACCCATGCCTCCCAACATGCCTCTGCCGCCTATGAACCCCTGCACTTACGGCATGAAGCAACCGCTACACTGCGAAGTGCTGACCTCAGGAAGCGGACATAAGTAGGTTTGGGTGTCCTTCGGTTTCTTGTTATTTTTACTTCTCTCTCAAGCAGGAGATCGCTCACATGAGGGCTAGATGCACGAAGGCTACTACTAACACTGTTTCGGGCAATCAATATTTTCAAAAGTTGATTCTGGCAATCCAATATCCTTCGCAATTGATAATACATGCTGACGGTACATCTCTGGAGAGGTCCTATCCTCTCAAGCTAGTATATTAGTCCATACAAGAACTCGGCAGAGGACATGGAGTCTATGGCACATTCTACTGGGGTCTCCTTCTAGCAATTATTCGGCACTGCGGAGACGTAAGGGCACCTCCGGTGACAGCAAACACGCGGATCTCATACTTGTCCAGAAGCGGCATCGCGTCTGAGGTGCATTACGCTTGCGCGCTCCTTCCCAGCAATCACTCGATGCGACGGACACATAAAGGCATCCGGCATCCAGTCTCTCCAGCAAGCGTGGGCCTGACAACGACACCCTGGTTGGCCACTATCTCCGTTTCTGGACCATCCCTGAGGCTGAAGTTGTAGTCGCGGAGCAAAACACAGATGATGGCCTTGTAATAGACGTTATGAGTGAAGTGACACATACAAGGAGCAACTGTGCAGACGGCGTACCTTCATCTCAGCCAAAGCGAAGTTCCTCCCGAGGCACATTCTTGGGCCGTCCAGGAAAGTGAGGATATGCCGATGTCCCTGGAGCTTCTGGGCCTTGGACGGTATGCCACCATCCCTAAGCCACCGCTCAGGTTTGAACTCCGAGGCATCCGCACCCCATATGCTCTCCGCCTGGTTTACGCACGAGATCGGAACCGTCACCCTGGTGCCTTTCCTGATAGTTATCCTGTCGACGATTTGCCCGTCTCGTGTTGTGATAGCTGTGCCGAGAGGTAGGGTGTCGTCCGTCGTAGCCTAAGTAGTGTTACATCAGCTCTTGCGCGGCTCCCGCTAAAACGGAGAAAATAATACTCACCTCACGCCAGGTTTCCAGCACGGCTGGATGCAGCCTAAGGACTTCCTGGACGACGGCATCTAGGTAGGGAAGCCCGGTCGTCAAGCTTGCCCAATCAGGGTCAGCGGTTCCAAGATTTGTCAAAAGCTCTTCGCGCAGTTTGGCCTGTATATCTTGTGCTTGCGACAAGCGGACGAGAATCCACTAGGGGCTCGATTCGTCGGACTGTCCAAATGGCTTACTGTCTGCACGTACCGTCATGGTTGCTGTTCAGAATGTCAGAGACAGGAAGGTCATGCGCTGAACAAGGACTTACCAGCCGTGGACTCGTAACCAGCAACTAGCAGGGTCTTCATCTGACGAAGATGTTGTATTCGACATCCTCCTTGGATATGAGCGGAGCCTACCTGATCTATCATGTCTTTCTGTGAAGCGAAAGCACCGTGACTTGGCTTCGCTTTTCCTGGTCCGACTACCAAGTATTTTTGTACTCAGTCTCCTTATGATACCTGTAGGTGCATGCACTCACGTAATAACCCAATAATCGAGCCGTCTTCGGATATAGCACCTGCGTCGGCAGCTTCTTTAGCCCGAGCCGTCAGCTCATTGCACGCTTTGGTCATCTTCGCGTTCAGAGCAGAGATCGCTTTGTTGAACGCAGTCGGCATCAAAAGTACCAGCCTCGGAAAAGCAGGGGTCATCAGAAACGTGAGCACCAAGAGGACTGACGACTCCAGGCTACTGATATTTTCGAGGACTTGAACCAATGTTCCACGAGCGTCACGCAGCGCACCAAAATCATAGGAGTAGCCAGCTCTGCCAACCGCATCAAGACTGAAGAATGGAGCTTGTCATCATCACGCAGCATAAGTGAAATGGAGCACCTACGCAGCGCGGTTCATCCTTTCGCAGGGAGCTCAGCTGGGAAATGAACAAAGAGTAACGGGCTTACCAATCTTGTATATCGATATAAGCTTCGTTGGTGGTATTTTCCTCGAGGATGCGTTCCCAGGCCGATCTCACCTAACTCAATGGTTAGTCGTCGACACGCAGAAGACAGCTTTCTTACTTTGTGAGCAGTTTCTAGAAAAACAGGGCACAGACGGCGCACGAATCCTACGGTGAATGCAGGAAGCATATTCTTGCGCTGCCTGTTTATGATATGTAAGCTATGTGAGCCCGACGACTTAACTTCTTAACGGGCGTGGCATACCTCTGATGAGCCGGGCCCTCTGCCCAAAGCAAACCACGGCCCATCTATGAACACGTGTATATGTATTGAAGAGTCGGACTAGGGAGCAAGGCACACTAACCATCTTCTCCACTCCTAGCCTGAAATACGTAGTCCTGGCATAAGATGATCCATCCTTGGCGTAAAAGTGAGAGAGCGCCATTGAGTCGGTCAGGATGACCTCTTTAGAACCCGCCACGCCGGTTATCTCATACGCGCCACCGTACAGTCTTTCCCATCGTTCATAAAGAGCGCCGGGGTTCGCAGTTTGTCGGATGCTGCGTCGTACGCCCCATAGAATGCTCGAGCTTGGAGGTCCTCGCAGTAGGGTCGCGTTGGGTGTTACCCTCTGTGTGCGGACCACCGCAAGAAGGGTGAGGACGGCCAACCCTGTGCACAGATACCAAACGCCAGTGAATAAATCCATCGCAAGGTGGTGAAGATGCTATGATAACGACCAGCAGGGAATCGTGACCTTATATGCGCTCGAAGAGACCATTGATGCGACGACCCCAAAGCGCCTGGCGCAAGCTCAGTTGGAAGGCTCAGACACCTGCGGAGTAAGAGATAGTATCAAGGGATAGCTCCTCCATAACGGACCCGATATGGGGTGGAAAACGGAGGCGAGAACCATATTTTGGGTTCTTTGTCTCGGAGGCCTAAATGCATACGCCAGCGGGTGAAGTTTGAACGGACTGTTGAGATGGCTTACTACTCGGGTAACTTGTGCGTCGCAATCCGACGGAGGACGTCTCAATTCAGAAGGTCCTTTGATCTGGCTCTCACTTATCGGGGGGCGGGTCCCGGTCGGGGACGATTTAGCCTATAACCACAGGGACTTGTGCCCAGCTAGAATAGGGGAGAGGGTCAACCACGCACTCTATCACCACAGCACCAAAATGATACGATTCCGAACGCAGCGCGATTCATCCCAGAGCTGACGATAGTGGCGCTGCACAAGGGTCGATGCATCATAAGAAAGGCAATATAGTGCGTACACAGCACGATAGGAGTGGTGGCTAACTTTAGGCTAACGTTAACCGAGCAACAGAAGCGCAAAAAGCAATAAGGATAAAGGGACTGCACTGCACACGCAACCTTCAATCAAGAACTACTGAGTACCGTCGTCACTCCGGAACCTCTTCCTGGGTCCGTCCGGCCCCGCAAACTGCCCACCACCTTGATTTTGCATGAAGGCTGGATTAAAGTGTCCTTGGACACCGCCAAATCCGCCCCGCCCACCCATGGGCATCATTCCCATACCTGTACACGAGTAACAATACAACGAGTAAGCGATCCATACAAACATAAACATCACATAGGAGCCAGACCCATACCCATGCCTCCCATCATGCCTCCGCGGCCTCCGAACCCGCCAACCATGCCGCCTCGGGGGCCCTGCGGGATCATGCCACGCCCGCCGAAGCCGCCCATGCCCATCGGGCCCATTCCGCCCATCATGCCAGGCATCCCGCCCATCATTCCGGGCATCCCGCCTCTCATCATGCCCCCGCCCATCATGCCCCCGCGCATGGGCATGCCCATCATGTTCATCCCCATTGGGTTTTGCATATTGTTGTGCTGCTGGAAGCCACCCCTGCCGCCTCCGCGGCCAGGTCCACCACCGCCCGTCGGTATGGGTTGACCTTGTTGGCGGTGGTCTTTTGGAGGGGGCTCTGGAGTAAGAACATGCGTCAGTACGCATAACGTAAAGAAGCATCCGGCAATCTGACCTTTGGGGAGAGTTCGGAAAGGATTACCTTGAGCACTACTCGCCATGGTCACGGAAGCACGTCGATTCTGGAACTCGCTGCGCAGCAGTGGTCAGTCATTAATGACAGTTCGTTGATCGCTCCAGAACAGTGCCTACTTATTTTCGAACCACTCTTTCAGAGTATTCGCGCTTTCCCAGCTTCCACATTCAATATATGCGATGCTAGACGAATTGTCAGTCTTCACGCACATATATGCATGCATACGAAGGCCTACCCTTTGCTCTTTCCGTTGACCTTATGCTCGGAGAACGTGATATGCTTATGGTCGATATTGACACCGCAGTTCAATGCAACTTGTCGCAAATCTTCATCAGTTGTCCACTGTATAGAAGTAACAAAGGATACACAGAAAATAGTCTCAGAACGACGTGGACATGAAGAGACTATAAGACAAAACAGAGTACAGACCCAATTCAGATCGCCGACAATGAGAGCGTCGTAGCCTGGTCCTCCCATACCCTGCCCATTCATACCACTATTGTAGTTGCCGTTCATGTTGTTGCCGGCGCCTCCGTTCATGGGCGTTCCTGAATGAGACTGAGGTTGTTGTTGGTTGGGCTCAGAGGGGTTATATTTCTGTTCGTCAGCGTCGTCTTCTCGGCGCCTTTTCTCTCCTACAACAGGTTCATGTGGTTGTTCCTGAGACTCGTCGTCGAGTTGCACTACCGGCTCATCCTCTTCCTTGACCTGACATGCAAGACATGAGCCCGGCGGATACAGAAGGTAGCGCATGAACCCACCTCTGAACGAGACGCGTTGAAGCCGTCGTCCTCCCCATAAATGTCGACGTCATCCGGATTCATGATTCGCGCAACTCAAGATTGCGGGTGACAAAAGAATCTCTGTTTTGCTGGTTTCGACAAATAGTACCGACAGACAGGAGAGAGACGTGACACAGGAACGAGACCAGACAGCAAAAGGTCAGATACAGGACAAACAGCGAGACAGGCGCCCTCGAGTCAGAGATGGACTAGGTGAATCTCTTACAGGAATATATGAGTACAGGCAAATTAGAGGTCCTCTACGTCGAGCGGAATTACAATAGGCGGAGCTAGACGAGGCAGCAGACGCGGTCGTGGTGGGTGGCGATGTCGGAGAGAAAAGAGGCTTGGAAGACGCGTTCGACGAAAGCGCGGAGTTTGGTGGGCATCTGTTTGCTCATGTTTGTCCGCTGCTGTGGTATCATTAATATTAGCTCGGTTCAATACTGGACGTGGCTTTACACCTTACCATATTATTTCTGGTAAGCTGAGAGTTGTTTTGAATCCTCTCGATTCACGAAAGCCTCCAAGTCTAAGTATTAGTTGCGGTCGCGTTGTCTCCCATGCCCGACGCGAACTGCATGGTGGCAAAAGGTCTGGTCTCACATCGCCCGACCACCCTCACTTTACATTTTCCTACTTAAACCTGACTTCCATGCACGAATTCCACCTGCACTCGTCGGAAAGAGCACGCCAGCCGGATCCAAAGAGGCTACTTCGGAAAACAATGCCTTGACTTTGCTCTAGCCCGCGGACTCGTCAGTACAGCAGCACAGGAGAAGACAGTTTGTGACCCAGTGGAAATCGAGCTGGCGCAGGCTCCTAAGCCTCTGGACACCGAATCCCTTGGCCTGGGGTGTTCGTACGTCGATCCGCGTCCACGCTCGCGCGCCGTGGCGATCCTTCATGCGAAGGAGGATGGGACGCGCGCTTCGGAGGGCCTCGCGGCTCTGGATGTCTCCGAACGTACTTGCCTTTTACTTCTGGAGTACCTCTGAGGCTCACTCACGCGTGCCGGCTTGTAGGCGATCGCAGCGATATCGTTCGAGGTGATGAAGGTGCAGTTGCTCGCCACGTCTGACTTTGCGGGGGTTACATGCTTGGGGCGGCAAACAAAAGACACACCCGGGGACCCCAGCCGAATTTTCTCATGCTAATAAGGTGTACGTCGCGTTCCGCCTTGCTCACCATACTGCACTCCTTTCCGCCGGATCAAGCTTCTCCCAAAGCAGCGGACTAACGCCCGCAGCTTACCTCGTACCTTTCCCAAGCATCAACCTCGAGCAAGTACGGGTTCTGTATCGCCCATCTTTCTCCGTGTCTCTCCGCGCACTCACGAGAGTACCCCGCCTTTCTTCGCCTCTGTTTCGCGCGGTGGAAATCGGTGTATGCGCCTTCGACACTGGATCTGGGTACTCGATGGACACCGGCGCGTTCGAGGACTCTGGGCTCTCGGAGTTCGATGCCGACGTTGACCGTGAAGATGGAGATAGCGTGGTTCCAGGGACGCCACTTTCTCCCCGCCACCCTGGTAAAACTGGCTTTGCGTTTCGAATTGAGATTCGAGTACACACTTCTGATGACTTTACTGGCTCTCGAGACGAACGTAACGGGTCTGTGGTTGACTCTTATCCTGGTGTCTCGTTGCTCTCCTGGCTATGAGCACTCTCGGTCTTCGTCTTTGATCACGTCCCGGGTCTTCTGTGGAGCCCTCGCTGAAACAGTCCTCCCTCGCCTCGCTCCGGCCCTGATTCGAACGCCTCTTCTCACTCCGATCCTTTTTCTCGCCCTGCACCCATCCATGCTCATTCATCCAGCCCTCACGGCACCTCCCACCCCCGAACCAAGTAGCAACACCGACGTCTGGCCCGCCATCGGAAAGCTGCTCAGCTTCAGGCCGCTCTCGTCGCGCGCGGACTCGGCGGGGGAGGTGTGGGTGGAGGGAGATACTGATAGACGGGGGTCGCGTTACCGGCCTCGCTACGCGTGCTTCCAAAGAATATAAGGTCGTGGATGCTCATAGCGTGCGCGTGAACGCAGAGCTCGATTGGGGCCGGACAGTATACACCAGGGTGCGCGGGGCATCCACGTCAACGCCACCAACGTCCACCAGAGAGCGACTGCCTCGACGTCGCTAACTGCGGCGACTTCAGCCAATTGTCCGTTCGTCTTCAGACCCTACACTTGACTTCATGCGATTTTTTTACCCATTACCTTCGTAGACAACAAGGCCGCGCTGCTGCAGACCCACCTCAAGCTTGCCAGAAGGAACTTGTGGGCAGGGAAGCGTCCCGGAACTATAGCCATACGACCCTCCCGAAATACGACAGATTCCACCCGCCCGTGCTGGCGCCGGGCGGAGACCGCCCAGTCACGCTGCCGCTCCTGCAAGGCGTTGCAGAGATTATGGCCCAGTTAGGTTACAGGTATGCATAACGTTGTTCTGACGCGGCGTCGACTAATGCACACCGAGCTCCATTTACTTTGATAGTCACCCTCGGTTGAGAGAGCCTACGACTGCGTGTGGCCTCCCTGATCTTATAATCCTACACAGAACCTGGTAGAGTGGTACAACTTTCACCCACTACACTCGACGGTTATCCAGACCCGCTGCGAATCAGTCCGGTCCCTGATCACGCCCGCCAACGCCAACATCGTGCGCACTCCCTCCCTCTCTTCTCCCGATACCCCACCACTGCACTTCAGCATGTCGGGATACGAACGTGATGGGTCACTGAGAGTCCGACGACGGCAAGAACACGGGGATGTCGGCTTTGTGGTCTCCCACGCCGAGAAGAGCTCGGCTGGCGCGGTGTGGTGCAGAGGATTCAGGAGGTGGTCGGGGATAACCCGTGTTAGTATGTCAGCAGTGTGTTTTCCGAGCCAGCGTGGACGGGCGGATGGCAGTCAGCCTCCCGTGTGAGTAGCCACCCGCTGCACTCTCATTCTGATTCACGAAGGATCCCTCTCACTGACTCGGATTCGGACGGGTCCGCGTGAACGATAGGTAGCTTTACCCTCACCCTCCTCGCAGGCGATATCCAGTACGCGCATTACTGCAAATCGTAATCAAGTAATGGAGGAACCCGACCCAGGCGTACCGGTACCGCCATCAGCACACCGCTGAAGTAAGCTAGAAAGTACACCTCCCAGAGCGCAGCGGAATGAGCGCTTAAGGAAACCGTTCTAGGTGAATCGGAATCGATACCATTAGACCAGCTGGCTGCTGCAGGCATGCGGCAAGGTATGTGGAACAACTACCTGACTCAGCTTCCCAACAGCGGACTTCCCTGCCTATGCGCATATTTGAAATAAAACAAAGGAGAAAGGCTTTCATTTGGAAGTACAACCGCGTCGAGATGAATGACGCGTGGAGAGGAACGGCAACTTGAACGCGGCAATTGTGGCCACCGGCAGAAGCTCGATCAGAGAAACAGATGCATCCTATGCATCTTCAGGTCTGCACTTTATCGGCCTTGCGGGGGAAACGAGGCGGACGGTGCATTCAGGTCCCGTACATTTTCCAGTATACTAGTCATCGGTCGGCGCCGACAGGTCTCACTCCAAGATAATTAATAGAGCTATAACCTCCCCAGTGCTTATACAGAGTGCACCTCATTTTGTTTGCGAGCACCACGAGCATAGGCTGCACTGCGTGTGAAATGTGGCACTCCGCCGTCGTGGAGGCACCCTCGATGGCGCAGCCTGGACCCTTGATCCAAATGAAAGAAGGAGGGCAATATCATCGCCGAATAATGCACAAAAGTGGCCTCAGGGTATCGCCTCTCGAGGACAAAGGCAATGTGGTAGAGTGTGGCTTGCGGCAGAAGCACGGCAGGAAGCACTCCTTCCATTCGCTGATGCACGTGACTTCTGTGTCTCCACGTCGGCCATTGGCCATCAACGTGTCCAAGCCACAACATCATTGTCTCAAGATTGAGCCACGAAATCGGCGGAGACCGCGAAGCAAGCGGTATAAAAGGTATTCTCGAGCCGTCTGTTTATCGTCATTCTCTCTCACAACCATGTTGACTCATTCGGTGCAGTCCGGTCACCATCCGAGCTCTTCACCTCTCAAGGGGTCTGTAGCAAATCGAGAAGGATACAGTCGTCAGAAAGTTGAGGCTAAGGTAGAGAGGAAACAAGTTTCAAGGGAGATGTCTGGATACTTCCTCGGTCCCATGCCTGTGGCGGAGTTCCTTGAAGAGTTCCTCCCACCTCTGGCTGCTGGTGAATGTTATGATTTTCCCATGCTTATCTCATTCCATTTCCATTCCGAGCATTGCTATTGGACAGTACCTTTCTCTGAGTAGAACTTCCCATGGACGCTATCTTCTTCCCACACATTATCTCCCTTGACTCACCTTCTACCAATAGGCGCCCTTGTATTTCTCATTTCTCTGAGTTACGTTCTCACAGGATAGCTTATGCGTCCTTTCTTATTGTTCTCTTCTTTGGGTATTAACCCCTATACCAGTTACTATATATACTGTAGGAAAACCCATGTATTCCTTAGTTCAACCTCCTGTTGAATACAGCGATTACCTGGACTCTTGACTTGACCGTTGGCATTGGCCCGGCCAGACCTACCTTTCAGTACGCTTACTGAGGTAGTGACGACATAACTGTTGGCACGAGGCCCAGTTATCTCAAGACGACTAGTTAGGACATCGCTTCCTAACATTAGGTTGAACTCTTCTACGACACTTGCCGACTTCTTCAAGCCTAGGCAACCCCTCCTCTACTCTTGATCATCCTCGTTGGACTCCCTAGTGGAATCCCGTCCCTTGAACCAGAACCATGACGAACCTGATCGATCCTACCGCCCAAGCGGCTGGAGCAGGCGTTGCTGCACCAGTCATGCAAGCACGACCAACTGAAATCAAGATCCGTCTCCCAGATGACTTCAATGGAGACAGGAAGAAGACCCG